TTATCGGTGTGATTTTTGTTTGTTTCCCTTAAATGTGTTTGGTTTTGTTAAATATACATTTTATTATTTATGCAGATAAAACTGACCTTAGATTAGCAATCACAAAATGAGTAATTTAGCAATAAATGTGATGAAGATGTTTACATGTTTTTGTGCTCAGAGTAAGAAGAATTTGCTAGAGATCTGTGGAATCTACCTGACCAGCCTCAGCACAACATGATCTTTCACTTTTTCATCGGTGAGTTCAGTTTCTTATCACTGCCATATGTTTTCTGAACTTTCACGCAGTGAAGGAAGGAACATTAAAAGTCAGTAGAGCTTGGAAACAAAGCACCTGGACTTCTTTAAGTTTCCTGAAGACAGTTCACCTCGCATCCAAGAAGCGTCTCCAGTTATAAAATGAAATGGTGGAGAGCCCTAGGTATTTAAACCCTAGTAGGAGTGATCCCAAAAGAGGGCCTGGGAAGGATCTCAAAACTGGATTATAGATGGCAAACAGTTGGTGTCATAAGCCCGCTGTTCAAAGATGGTCATTCACAGTGGGCACAGATGGCTTCTTGCACTCCTCTTTCAAACCATCTGTATTCTCTGTCCAAATGTGGACATTGGTGTCCTCGAAAGAGTGACCTTTGTCCTTTAGATGCAGATGGACAGCCGAGTCTTGTCCCATCAAGGTGGCTCTTCTATGTTGTGCCATGTGTTTATGCAGTGGCTGTTTGGTTTCTGAGCATTCCTGTCATGGCCGGTGGGCCAACTCGAGCGAATAGACTCTAATGCAGACAGCACTCAGAGACACAGGGACTTAGGTAGAGTGACAAAGTAAGCAATGAATCGACTACTCAAATAATTCTATGACACGCTTTGAATGAGAGTAACGCTATTATCCACTAGTTCCTTGAACAGTACCATAAGCACAACTCAAATACTCCTATGGATGTACTAGAACAACACTATGAGAGTCACATGAGAGGCTAGAAAATCACTACATGACCTGTGAGGGGGTCCATGAGGGAGCCTTGGGGCTGTCATGGACGAGGGCTGGGGACCCGACACTTCCAGTTCAGGACCCCTGGGGTGTGGGACAGAGGGAAAGGGTGTGGTGGTATTCTCACTCACTGAAATGAGGGAAACAGGTGTTAGAATGGGTTTCAGATGCCGATCCAAGGTGTAAGTTGCGAATTGCAAAGTCTTTTCACAGGCGCAGGTGAAGCATAGAGGGGTAGGTGGTCAGGGTGAGGTGCAAAGGTAATCCGATGAGTGATCTGTTAAAGTCAGAGTGCTGGGTGGGGAGCAAGGCAGGTGAGCATAGTTGGAGAAACTGCGAGTTGAAGCGATTGGACCAAGGCAGGCTATGGCAGTGAGTCTCAGCAACATCTGGAGATTTTCTGTGAGCAGAAAGTCAAATTTAGGATTAACTATAACCGCGACTAATGAGGGCTAGCAGACAATCTGGGCTGCCGGCTTAGGTGCAGCCTTTCAGCAGTGCTGTGGCAGCTCTGCCCAGAGGTGGAAATGCCAGGATTGTGAAAAAAAACAGCACTCACGCAAACCATGACAATTCCAATCACCTTCTTTTCAAACTCTTTAGACTACCATGACCTGGATAACAAAACATTAGAATTCAATGTTTAATCTAACAATGAATAAAACTTCCTGTAAAGAAAGTGACATTGCAGTTCTCATGTTGTGAGATGTGATGTCCAACACCTGCAGGTGCACCTCCTCTCTGAGGAAAAGTCCAAGTTGTTACGGCCAGGGCCGGGAGCAGTTGTCAGGTTGATCAGGTGTGCTGTTCAAGGTATTTTAGCTGAAGATTTGCAGACATGCAATCACTTGTTGAAGGTTTTCCTCTTGTTGTCACTTGTTTTTCTTCCCAATCTATTAAATTTAAACTTCTTTTTTAGTTCTCATCATAACTCTTGTAAAAACAAAAATGTGAACACCTTTCTCCTTCTAGAAATCTATAATTTAGAAAAAAACACTTCACTGTGATGCTTTGGAAAAAAGGATTGATTTAACGATGTGCTGAAATATTTAAACTGCAGACAACTATTTTATTTTTATGTCTGTTAAAAGACCTACTTTCCCGAGTCTGGAAGAAATGTCCAATACCTCAAATGTCTTTGGTCAGTTTGTCTCTCTGCAGCTTTCCTTCCAGCAGTTCACCTTCAGGACTACAACGACTTCCAGGACCCATGCCCCATCAGCTCCTGTAACCCCCAGCTGGGTGACCTGTTGGTGGGTCGTGCTGCTCAGCTCTCAGCGTCATCCACTTGTGGTCTGGATGGACCACAAAATTACTGCATCATCGGATATCTGGAGGTCAAATAGAAAATTCATACACACAAAGTGTGTGTGTGTGTGTTAGTGATGGGATTTCCGGCTCTTTTTAGAGATCCGGCTCTTTCGGCTCGGCTCACTAAAAAGAGCCGGCTCTTTC